GGAAAAGTTTCCATACATTCATGTTATTTCCGAGAAAAATTAGTCCCCTCAATGTATTCATGTATTCCATAAACAAATAATTCCAATGTTTTATATTGCTGGCATTTTTCTTACCAACACCACTTGGCTGACTTGGCTCATCTGCGTATGTGTGTTGAACAGGAAATTGCCCGGCATCTGCGCCCCGGCACCCTCCGGGCGGTCTTCGGCAAATCCAAGATCCAGAACGCTGTGCACTGCACCGACCTGCCGGAGGACGGGCTGCTGGAGGTGAGTCGGAAACATCTGCTTGTAGCTCAGGTTCACCAATAAGCTCAGCAGTCCTGGTGTGTAAGGACCTCTTAATATTCTTGGGTGATACTGTTACTGGTCACCTGATAACCCCAGGCTGCAGCTTTAAAAGTCCGAGTGGTAGGATGCGGTTTATAACTGGATAGCCTTCAAAGAACTGTTGTTTTTCTGATTGGCATATATTATGGCCTAAAAGTAATTTAAAAAGTGAAAAACTACAGCATTAATTAAATAGTATGAAACCTGTTTTAAAGTCAGGTGAAAATATCACCAGAAGTGGCTAGTCATGGAAATCTATCAGTGAAATCCAGAAGTCTAATATGCAATGTGAGAGCATTGAAAGAAATAGCCACCGTTCGTTGACTCTATCAGGTTCTGCCATCGGAAGTGCTCCGTGTAAATTACGTCTGGGAATCCCACAGCAACTCTAATAAGTTGGTATTATATCTGTTTTATCAGGGAAATGAAATTGAGACTCAGAGGGGTTAAGTAACATCCTCAAATCAAACAGTGCATGTAGAACAGGGCCGTGCTCTGACCTCTCATCTGTTTAACACATTAAGCGCCCAGCCTGTTTGGTCTTCCAGCCAGAAAATATAGTGTCAGTCACCAGTGACTGACTGGGCACTTAACGTGTTAATTAACATAAAATAAAAAACAAAGAATTATAAGAAAACATAAAGAAAAATTGGTCTGGTTTGGGGTTAAGAAAGTCATTTGTTGGCCAAAGCAAAGAAATTTTAAGGAAAGGATTGATATTCTTTTTTATAGTTTAAAAAAATTTTATGTGTCAAAAGGAACTAATGCAATGAAAAGACAAATGCTAAATTAAGGAATATATATATGCCTAAGCGACCAGTCGACTGGTTGCTATGACGTGCACTGACCACTAGGGGGCAGACACACAATGCAGGAGCTGCCCCCTGGTGGGAGCGCCACTCAGCTGACAGACGGGCGCCAGATGCTGGGCTCATGGCTGGCAAGTGCAGCTGCAGCAGTGCGAGCCTCTCCCGCCTCTGCGATAATGCTACCAAGCTAGTGGTGGCAGCAGCAGGCACAGCAGGTCCAGGATGAGCAGGAGCAGCATGGTGCCCAGCCCGGGCTCAGGGCTCCTCCCTGGCTGCCTGCTGCTTCACGCACTACTACATCCCTGCCTGCAGGGATTGGGCCGAAACTGGCAGTCCAACATCCCCTGGGGGTTTCTTGATTACGAGAGGACACAGGCCAGGCTGAGGGACCCCACCGGTGCACGAATTCGTGCACTGGGCCTCTAGTTGTAGTATAAAGGACAGAAAAATGATATCCACAAGACATCTTACTTTAGTATTTTTTGTTTTATGTCAAATCTATCAATCTTTTATTTTATTTCTACCTTTGAAATCATCTGTAGAGAAGCCTTCCCCATTTTGTTTAATTTTCTTGCATTGAAATGCTCAGTGCACCTGGCACCTGTGTGGACACGTGGTGTGAGGGAGAGATCCAGTCAGTGTGATGACGTTGCTCATCAGCGCTTCCTTTCATTGCCATTTCTCGTTGATTGATGCCCATGCACACCTGTGCCTGTTTCTGAACTTTCCATTTTATTCCACTGGTCGGTGCCAGAAAAATACTACTTTACTACTGCGGTTTATTTATCCTTTAAGAAAGTTTTCTTGGTTATTCTCTTAAGCTTATTCCTCCACGTGAACTTCGCACGAGTCTGTCGAGTTCTTTACCCCACGCCACAGGATGCCAAGGGGACCGGGGCTGACATCCGCTGTGTTTGTGATTAGTGTGGGAGTGACGTGTCTGTAGTGGCCAACCTCTCCACCTGCACAGGTGGCTGTCCCTCCTGCCCTCCCTTATGCCAGCAGAGCCTTCGCTTAGTGTGGGCCTGGGGCACAGCCTGTCACCTTTCTTCCCGCCAGCTTTTGTTCTTGTTGCTGTAGAGAATGACTTCATGAGCTCCAGTAAGATTTTCTCCTGTAATCCAGGGTGTAAATTGGCTAAAATCTTATCCAAACTAAAATCTTACCTAACCCTGGTATGAAATGCTGACCATACTCCCAAAATGTAAAAATGGTACAAACATCACCTTTTAATTACCTAAAGGATTAAGTGTTGGTTTTAAATTCCCACCTATTTTATGACTATTCCCTTCACCTTCTGATGGCTCAGGACCTACAGTCTAGGTTTGACTACAGAGTGTTGTTCAGCGAAACTGAAACGTTATTAATCATGAAATTTATGCCCATTAACAAATGCTATCCAAGTATGCCTGTGACTGCTCATGCAGTTTAGACTATTACCGCCTGCAGTTTACAAAGCCATTTACGAAATGATTAAAATCGTTCTAACCTGGCTGCACAGCAGATTTAATTGCAAATATAAAAAACAACACAGCAAGTGGAAGTTGTGCCCTAACAGCCTCCTGTCCTGTGGCTGGTGATTTATAGCTGATGTGACCTCCGCTGAGTCACTTTTTCTTTCCAGGCCTCATTTCTCTTATCAATAGAATGGAACAAAGAACGCTGATACACCGAGGACTGCTCTCTGAGTCAGGGATTAGCTCCTTGCAGATGGCTTGGCTTTAAATGGCCAAGCCTTGTCCAGAACACATGGAGGCCAGAAGAGTTATCTGCTCATAGGCCTTCGGAGTGCGGGTCAGCGTGACACAGACACGCCTCTGACCGGGAACATTGGTACTCACACGTGCTGTTCCTTAGGGAGCATTCTTTAGTTGTAGGTGACCACGACCTTTACTGCCCAGTCCAGGACCTTTTTGAAAGGCAGTTCCCGTCTCAAAGGCATATGCTGGAGCTGTCGGGGGCACAGGGACTATGGGCTCCCCGTTGCTGTGGCCAGAACGGAGCAGTTTACACCTCAGTCTTTCCCGCGTGATGTTTCCTGAGCCACGCTTGTGCCGAATGTCCAGGAAGTATGATTTCAATGTATATTTTGTCCTCATAACAAACCACACAGAGTGTTTGCCTGGCTGACATTGCGCTAGGATTTCAAAGCAACTCGACCCTTCCCCTGTTCACACTGAGCTCACAGTAAGTGACAGAGGGTGAGTTACAGGGAGGAAGGACAGCGGCTGCAGTAGGACACAGGCCAGGGTGTATTTCACTGGGTGTCCCCTGACACTGTCGGTAGTGACTATAAAGACCTTAAGTTTCTGCTTTAAAGAGAGCCTGAATGGGAATGATCTAGTTTAACTAGTAATAAAAGAAATATTAGTTTTCTACCAATGGCAACACTTTGAAGTCTCAATGCCCACTTCCAGTGAGGCTCCAGGAAAATGGATTCCTCAGGGGCTGGTGCCAGTGATGTGGCCACAGGTATTAAAAGCCATGGGTTGTTCCCTACAACTTGTCCCAGAATTCCACTCCTCAGAATTCACCCGAGGAGGAGGGTAGCTGGGCAGCGAGGGGACAGCCGGCCGCACGGTGTCATCACGGAGGAGTTGTGGTGATTACAGCGGAACAGGGTGCGTGGCTGTGGGTCTAGCTGAGAATGGTTCCTGTGTGCTCATAGCTCCTCGCTCCCTCCAACCCAGCAGCATAGCCAACAGTCGGCATAGCTCTACCCCGGCACTTACTCATCTCACTGCACCTGGCTCCCGATCCTGTACATGAAGATCTGAGCAGTGCCTGCCGTCAGATAGCATGGTGTCCAGACAGAGCCACTGCTGAACAAATGCTAGCAATTGATCGTTACAGTGCCTGTCTCCTCATGTGTGTTTCCCACAAGACTGAGCACCCAAAGGGAGGGATCTGTCTTGCTTGAATATGAAAACTCTCCAGTAAATCATTTTTGAAGGGAAAGTGGGGAGGGTTTGGTTAAATAAATTTTGGTTCGTGTACTCGGGCTGAAGTATGTAACCCTTTTTCTTTAATGATGGTAACAGAGACCTCCCTGTAGCAGTGGCCTTGGTTCATGTTAGACTCACCTCGGCCACTTTTAAAATCTGATGCTCAGACCCACCCTTAGAGAGTCCCACTTTTTTCCTTTTGGAATAATTTCAAACTTACAGAAGAGTTGCAAGTACTATACAAAAACTTTTTTGTTTTAATAAGCATTGGGGTTCAGTTGCCAACACAGTGCCCCATAATCTCTGAATACTTTAATGTGTATTTTTTTTATTATTCTAACTCAAGGATATCTTTTCATTGATTTTTAGAGAGAGTGGAAGAGAGAGGGAAAGACAGAGAGAAAATCAATGTAAGAGAAACACATCGATTGGTTGCCTCATGCACGCCCCCAGCAGGGGATGGAGCCTGCAACCTGGCCATGTGCCCCGGTGGCCTCTTGGTGCCTGGCTCTGTGCTCAACTGCTGAGCTATACCAGCCGGGCCAGGTATTTACATTCTTTAAAAACACAGCAGTAGACAGGGTACATGTAGCCCTGCCCTCCCGGAGCTCATCTCCAGGGGTGGTCACCATAGTCATTGTTTTTTGGAATGACGTAAGTATGGCTCTGTTGGAGTGACCAAAGTATGGATCTGTTTATCTTTTTCAACTATTCTGTCACTTGGTTATATCATGTTTGTGGTTATAATATAAAATGTTAAGAAATACATAAAATATTTCATTGTTTATATAGGTGATCAAAACAAATCTGAATTTGGCTGCATAAGTGTTTCTGCATGGGTTCTGGTGCCAGTGTACTGCATTAACCAGAAGCAAACAGGTGCAGTGACTAAGAGATGGGCGGCCTGGGTCTCCTGGCCTCCACACACACCCACACTTGTAACCTATCTCAGTTCTAGTTTCTATCGCGAGGGAAGAGTTGTGATTTTTACTAGTACCTTGTCAAAGAGGAACAACTTGTATAAAGACAAGAGCAGCATTCTCTTAGAGATCTAAAAATAGCTTAGTAAGCCCTGGGCTTGACCCTGAGATAGAAAATGGCAGGAGATAGGCTGGAAGAGTCAGCACAGGCCTTGTACTGACACACTAAGACATCCGGGGAGGATCCCGGTCACCCCGGGAGGATT